TCGGAGCCGGCGCGGCGAGCGCGGCAGGGGGGCGCGCGGGCGCCTTGGCGGCGCCGAGCGCCTGGGCGCCTCGCGCGGGTGCCAGGGGCTCACGGCCGCTCCGCGCCCGCCTCGCCGTGCGCTCCTGCTCGCCTTGATCCTCCTCGGCCTCCTCGCCCTGCCTCCCCCGCTGCTCCTGCTCGCCTTGGCCTCCTCGCCCTCCCTCCCCCGCTGCTCCTGCTCGTCTTGGCCTCCTCGTCCTCCTCGCCCTCCCTCCCCCGCTGCTCCTGCTCGTCTTGGCCTCCTCGTCCTCCTCGCCCTCCTCCCCCGCTGCTCTCAGCCACCCGCACCGGTGGGGGTGGTGGGGGGGGGAGGGGGGAGGGTTCTCAGAAGCACCCCTGCTTCTTCGAAGGCGCGGGCCGTACCTATAGATATAGGACCGGCGCCTTCCAGGAAGCAGCCTCCTTCTGAGAAGCCCTCCCCCCTCCCTCCACCCTCTTAAGCGCACCGCCGATGCTCCTGCTCGTCTTGGCCTCCTCGTCGCGCACCGCCGCCATGCCTGCCCAGGGCCGTCCTGGGCCACGGCGTGCTGTGCACGCCCTCCCGGCCGAAGCCGAGGCCAGGAGGTCCCACAGGCACCACCCCACAAGGCTTAAGTCGGGCGTGTCCCCCGAACAATAAAAAAATATTCAAGCACATATTCCGACATGGTCAACAAAATGCTCCAAAATAGTTCCCCGCCAATTTTTTTTTACTATTTTTGAATTTCCCCCTGTAAATGAGCAAGCCCGACTTAACACAAGGCGCAGGATGGCCCTGGGCCCGGCATAGTGGCGCTGTATGGGCACCCAAAGGGGCCCTCCGCGGCATGGCATCCCTGGCGACCCTGAACTTAGGTCGGGCATGGCGTCCTACTTCGCCGCTGCGAAAGTTCGGCCAAAATTCAACGCCTCCCGTTAGGCGACGGGGCCCCAGTACAACGTTGGCAGTGGGCCCGTTAGGCCGCGGGGCCCCAGTACAATGTTCGGTTGAAGCATTTTTCGCTCCAGTCTCGGGCGGCACCGCCATTTCGAACTCGAGCCCGCGGGTTTCGAAATCCAGTCGAGCTCGTTTTGGGGAGGAAGTCCTAGGCGAACGCCACATTTCGAAATCGAGCCCGATGGTTTCGAAATCCAGTCGAGCTCGTTTTGGGGAGGAAGTCCAAAGCGAAAGCTGCATTTTCGAGTTTTCGGGTCAGAGCCTTTACAATTTTAAATGCCAAACGGTGTGGCCATTTCGAAACGGCGGTGTCGCTTGATACTTCCTTGGAAAAACGATTTCGAACGATTTCGAAACTTTCGGCTTCGATTTCGAAACGGCGCTCCCGCCTAGGACTTCCGCACACATAGAATTCGAAACCTTTCTGCTTCGATTTCGAAATGGCGCTCCCGCGCAGGACTTCCTCAAACATAGAAGTCGGAACCTTTCTGCCTCGATTTCGAAATGGCGCTCCCGCGCAGGACTTCCTGCAAAATGAGGTTCGTTTTTTCGCTGAAAACGCAAAACGGGTCAAAACTTTCGCAGCGCCGATGCACAGGCCGAGTTCGGACGACAACTTTTTGACAGCCAACAACTGCTCCAAGCATTTCCAGCACATGGTTACAGGGAACATCGCTCCCAGACGCTGGACTACTTCAAAACTAGTAACCATCCCTCCTGTAGGTGGACACGCCCGACTCCACCCTGGACCTGTACGCCCGCCAACGGGTCCACCAGAGAGGCCGCTTAGGGCGGCCCCGCTCGGCTCCAGCCTACGGAGGACGGCGCGCCGCGCTCGCAGGCTGCGGGCTGCCGGGCGACGCAGAGCGGCGACGGGCCCGGCAGGGGGAGGAGAGGGACGGCGACGAGGAAGACGACGACGAGGACGAGGACGAGGACGGCGACGAGGACGACGACGAGGACGACCACGAGGGCGACGACGAGGACGACGTCGAGGGCCACGGCGGCGGCGACGACGACGAGGGCGGCGACGCGGGCGCGAGGGGCGCCGAACTCTGCCAGCGGACGGCCACGGATGCAAACAGAGAGTGCCAGCAGCGTCTCGGCGGCAGTCTGCTGCTGCGTGCACGTGTGAGCGACGATGGAAATAGAGGTTACAACATCCCCCCCCCCATGATAACCACCCCGACACGCGAAGTCGTTGAGTAACCGCGCCCAGAGAAGGAATCAAACAGGGCAGGGCTGTGTAGTAAACGCCCAGGGCCGTCCCGCAAACGCCAATTGTCCGGTCCGGTGGGTTTTGCCCCTCCCTTGACAAAAACGGGTCTTACGCGAGATGACGTGGCGACCTTACAGTCGGGGCCCTGAAGAAGGAACCCCTTTCGTTGGGGAGGGGCTCCGCGTTCCTCAAGTGCTTCACAGCTTGCCTCGGGCTTTCCTTGTGTTTTCGACGGGAAATCGAAGGTTAACTTATGGAAAAAAGGCGCCTCGTTCCTTATTTAGGGTAGGAGGAGGAGGAGGAGGAGGAGGAGGAGGAGGAAGAGGAGGAGGAGGAGGAGGAGGAGGAGGGAGGAGGAGGAGGGAGGAGGAGGGAGGAGGAGGGGGAGGAGGAGGAGGAGGAGGAGGCCCCGACTGTACGCCGCAGCTTGCGCGGGCCGCCAGCGCGGCGCACGCCACACTGGAGACGGAGGGTGCTTGCGCGCGACCTTCCTCGGGCGGCTTGCGCGCCACTGTACGCGCAGTCGACCCCGTTTTCTGTTGTCGCCCATGTTGAAGGGGTCCCAGGACACACAAATAAATACGCACAAATAAAACTATTCCCCATATTTTCTCATATTTTCTGGGATTTTGTCTTCCCCCCCACTTCCCACATTTTCCCATATTTTCCTGGGAATCGGCGATTAATTGTGTCTGTGTGTTTCTTTCCCTCCTGATTGTCGCCCATGTGGATCCAGGTCGCCGCACTTCGCGAATGGCGCCGCGCGCTGCGCGACGCGTGACTGTCATCGGGGCATCGCGCCCTCGCGCCCCCCCCCCAGGGAAGGGCAGCTGACCCCTCCGAGGGCCGCATCGCCATAGGCGTGTAAGACGGCACGTGTCGCGAGGCTCGGGTCGGGCGAAAGGGGGGGATAGCAAAGGGGGGGTTTGAGAATCAGCTCACGTAGCTGATTTTCCCGGCGCCTCCCGGCGCCGGGAGCGGCCATGTATCGAGGAATTGGCCCTTCGGTGAGGCCGAAACCAGCTGCATGCAGCAAATTTCGTAACCCCCCCTTTCCCAATCCCCCCCTTTCGCCCGACCCGACACAAGGGTGCCCTTGAGCTGGCAGGGCCGACCTACTACTCCGGGCCGACTGTGGGCGAGCATGCGCTGCACCTGCGGGGTGGCCTTGTGTGCTCGCATGCGCCTTGCGCGTGTGCGTGTGCGCACGGTCGGACCTGGGGGAGAAGAGCACCCTGCAAGAACCTGAGGCCCTCCTCCTCCTCCTCCTCCTCCTCCTCCTCCTCCTCCTCCTCCTCCCTCTCCCTCTCCCTCCTCCCTCCTCCCTGCCTCCCTCCCTCCCCCTCCCTCCTCCCCCCTCCCCCCTCCCCCCTCCGAACAAACCGCAAGGTCACTCGAGGGTACCCTCCCCCAGGACGTACAAGAGCACCCAGCAGGCACGAACAACACATCGCGGTGCCCTCCCCGAACCGACCTCGATGGTATGCCTCGGTCTGGCCGCAGGCCTGTGCATTCGCGAGCGTGGAGGTACACACACGGCCCGCATCGGCACGCATGCGGGCGCACGCCTGCGCGCTCCTGCCCCCCGCGGTCTCGAGCGGTGTGCCCAGGCACCCGCCGAGCTGTTTCTTCGATCTATCCGCGGCCCCAGGGCTTCGGTGGCGAGCGAGGGGGGGAAGCGAAAAGGGGAAGGGTTTCTCAGAAGGCGGCGGGCCTTCTCAGAAGGCGGCGGGCCTTCTCAGAAGGCCTCGCGCCTGCTGGCAGGCTTTCTGCGTCTTCTGGGCAGGCTCCGAACACTTCTGAAGCTCCTCGTGCGGCCGGGGGGCTTCTGAGTCTTCTGGGAAGGCCTTGTCCTTCTCACTTCCTCCGGGGCTCGCCGCCGAGAGGTCCTGACCCCTTCTCCGGATCTACTTTTTCGCTGCAGATGTATGTTGGATGGTTCTCTGGCGCGAAAGCCAGCCCCGGGGAAGCCCAAATCGATGAGAAGCTGCTGGCTGCAACCATAAACGACAGATCGTGGGAGATCTGGGTGCGGGGATCGGCAGCGAGCACGGGGGGGAAGTGAGAAGAAGAAGGCTTTTTTTCAGAAGGCTCGGAAGTCCCCTGGCCTTCTGAGAAGTCTTCTAAGCCTTCCCCGGGGACAGAGAACACTTCTCCGAAGGCGCGAGGGCTTCTGAGAAGTCCCGCCGCCTTCCGGAAAGGCCTCTTCCTTCTCTCTTCCCCCCCTCGCTCGCCGCCGAGGGGAGGGAGGTCAGGCTGGAACAAAAATCGATGGGAACCCACTGGCTGGGAAAACAACGTGCGGCAGGTTCGTGCCGTGTCGACCTGGGCGTTGGTTCCTGACACCGCGCTGGATCGTTCAACCTTGAACGATCGGCCATTTCCGCAACGCCCAATCGTTCAACATCGACCGATTCTGGGCCGCCCGCGGCGTTCAACCTTGAACGCCCGCGCTGGGGTCGCCGCTGGTCGACACGACGCAAACCTACCGTATTTAGAGGCCTCCGAAATGGGGTCGGAGTAGATGGGGTCGGGGCACCGCGCCGCATCGCCGATGCGTCGGCGATCCGCCGCCGATGTCTGGCCGACGTGGGCGATGCCTCTGCGACGCCGGCGGGAAGCGAATCGGGCTCCACGTGGAACCGCATCGGCGATGCATCGGCGATGCGGCGCGGCCCTCGGGCCCCGAGGAGGAGGAGGAGGAGGAGGAGGAGGAGGAGGAGGAGGAGGAGGGAGGAGGAGGAGGAGGTGGAGGAGGAGGAGGAGGAGGAGGAGGAGGAGGAGGAGGAAGGGATCTGGGAGGCCCCGGATCTTGTCGGAGGTCTTGGTGCGGGGAGGGACGCCGGGCGCGCCCATCACCCCGTCGAACTGGGAGCCGTCAAAGAGTGCGGAGAAGATCATGCCCATGGTCGCGAAGGGGAGGCCTCTGCGCGGCCGCCGCGCGCGGCGAGCGTGCCCCTCCCCCCTCCTCCGCCGTCCTCCCCCTCCTTTCTTCTCCACCCCTCCTCCACAATTACTCAATATGAAAATACTCTCCCTCTTCCCCTGATGGCGTCCGGGTGATGGCCGCGCACCCTCCGCGTACTGTTTTTTAACACACAGGATGCCCGGGAAATCCCGGGAAACGACTCTCGCTGAGGCGCCGGCGTCATTTTTTCCCAAAATGCTGCTCTCGTTGAGGCGCCGGCCTCATTTCTGCTCCCGAATCGTTCCGAATCGTGCTCCCGCTGCAGCGTGGGCCTCATTTTCGGATCGGTGTTTGGCCTCCGTCGTTCAGGATGGCGTTCTCGCCCCAGCGCGGGCCTTTTTCTCGCGCGCCCATCCGCCCGCCACCACCGCGCCGCACCGCCACCACCACCACCACCACCACCACCACCACCACCACAACCCACCAGCACCAGCACCAGTACCAACACCACCACCACCCACCACCAGCACCACCACCACCACCAGCACCACCACCACCACCATCACCACCACCACCACCACACCACCACCACCACCACCACCACGACAACCACGCACACACGCACGCACGCACGCACGTGCACCACCACCCACTACGCACGCGCGCGCGGAGCCACAGGTCCGCTACGACACGCGTCCACGGATAGAGAAAATCAGCGCCATGGCAAGGGATGGGAGGGAGGGGTAGGACGTCAGATATGACGCGAGCGCACCTAGCTTGTCTTTCTCCTCTCTCCTCCTTCCTCTTCCCTTCTCCGCCTCCTCCTCCTGATTCCTCCTCCCTGCCTCTTCCTCCTTCTCCCCCTCCTCCCTTCTCCTCCTCCTCCCCGTTGTGTTTCTTCCTCCTTCCCTCCCTCCTATGGAAAAAGGGCCGTGGTCGGGGAACCGACGGCCCCCGAACGGAGCCCGTCGCCGATGCCAAACCAACAAAAAACCTGCTCGAAACGTCGCCCAACCCGTGGGCAGCGCTCGCCCCGACCGGGACGGGTCTGGCTGCCCCGCCCGAAGGATGAGCGCAGCGCCTCTCGAGCGTGCCCCGCCGGCCGCGCTGGCGCGCGCCCGACGGACTACGCCGAGGCGCCCTCGCGCCACGATGGCGGAGAGGGCAAGGTTGAAGAAGGTGTGGAGGAAAACCCACACGCAGAGGAAAAAGGTCAGGGGCGCGCCGACGGAGGCCAACTTGCCGTCGACGAAGCAGGCGTCGCCGCCGAAGAAGACGCCGTGCCACCAGCCGACCACGGAGCGGCAACGAATCACGACATGGTCGATCATCGCGCCGCGTGGCTGCAAGAGGGGCCACCCTGCGGGAGCTGTGCGACTGGGGTACGTCGGGCACGAGGCGCCAGGCCCGTCTCGACGCGCCTGATCGCATCTTGCTGGTTGCGGCGCGTGGACTCGTTGGGCGAAAGGGGAGGAGGAGGAGGAGGAGGAGGAGGAGGAGGAGGAGGAGGAGGAGGAGGAGGAGGAGGAGGAGGAGGGGCGCATGCTTCCCCGCCCACGCCTCAGGGCACGACGTTCCGTGACTCGACCTCGCTGCTCCCAGCGGATCCCGCTGGGACTCATGAGCAAGGTGCGGCGACACCTACACCACCAGCGCGAGGCGCCAGGCGGTGGTCCGTCCCCTTGGCGGTGTGGCCCCCGCCCCCCTCTCTCTCGAGACATCCCCTGTCCCCAGCTCGGGGAGGCATCGTTGACCCCCTCGCTGGAGGTGGCCCCTCTGGTGGCGGCGTCGTCGCCTCTCTCCTTCCTCTGGGCACCGCTCGTGTCTACCATTGTGTCCTGTTATGCTACAGGGTGCACAGGCGCGTGTTGCCAAGAACCTCGGGCGGCGTGCGTTTTTTTTCTCGAATGATTCTACGCGGAACCGTCCATGCGTAGCAGCTGCAGACTGAAGCAGAAGCAACCAAGCGAGACCAGCACAGGCATTTTCAATGGCTGAGTCGCACCCCTCTGAGGGACACACACACACACAAAACACAAACACGAACACGACCACGCAAACCTCGGGCGGCGCACGATGGCACCATCCGTCCAATTTGAGGCAGACCGCCGCACCGCCTGCTCTGCCGTGGTCTGTGCTGCCCCCGTCTCCTGGCCGGCGCAGGGCCCAGCCCGAGCCCCCAGCCTGATCCCCCTCCCCCCTTTGAACGGGAACGACAGGCGAGCGACGAACAGGCACGGATCTTGCGCGACATGGCATAGCGACCCCACGCGGGCAGCGCACGCGCCAATGTCAGCGCAGTCGACCCCGTTCTCTTCCGTCGCTCGGGTGCGGACTGGCTCAGGGGGGGGGTTATGGACCTGGAATCGCTGACACGTCGCCGAAAGCTCGGCGACAGGCCCCCGAGGGCGACGCCGCGGGCTCCTGGGGACGGGGAGGGGGCACCCAGGCCCCGACCAGCGAGGACTGGCCGATGGGGACTCCCACCCCCCAAGGGGTTACCCCTCCCTCCCGTGGGTGTGCCGAAGAGGGGGCAGGCAGGAAGAGGGGGGGAGGGGCATCGTGGCCCGATGCATGCGAGCACACTGGGGGAAAGGGAAGGGGGGGCAGTGAAATCTGGGAGATCCCCTGGCACCAGCGGCCATGATCTCCCCCCCCCCACTACCTAGTCTGAGGTCGGGCATGTCTTCCTACAGGCGGATGTTTGAAACAGTCAACTACATTCGAACATAAAAAACATGGTCAAACAATCGATCCCATACTTTTTGAAACTATTTTTGAATACGCCTCCTGTGAAGGGACATGCCCGACTTGACCCCAGTCTCCACACCCCTTCGACGCCTGGTCGCTTTCGGGTCATAACTCGAGCCTCCGTCGGCCGTTCGGGGCAATCCAGGCACCCCCAGAAAGCCCCCGACGAGGCGCATCTACTGGGAACAATCCCAGGGCGAGAAAAAGCCCGAGGACAGACGACAACTTCCTATACTATCCAACGAGAATGAAGACGTCCTCACTTGGGCAGACGATAACATGGACTGGGGATCCGAGGGCCTGCCGCGCGGCCGCCAGACCCACAGGTCGGGGAACGCAGCCCTCGAAGCACACACACCGCCAATGCCGCATGATCTGGCGACGGCGCGCGCCGCTCTGGCAGGGAAGCGGGACCCGTCGCTGACCCACGCGCCTTCCTGTCCCGACGGATCGCAAGGATGCGCGATAAGGACGCAAGGGGATCGCAGTTTGGCGGACGAGGAACGGTTGGCGGAGGAGGAGGACGAGGAGGGAGGAGGGAGAGGGGAGGAGGAGGAGGAGGAGGAGGAGGAGGAGGAGGAGGAGGAGGAGGAGGAGGAGGAGGCCCCTTGGACGCCCATGCCGGAGCTCTTTCGAGAGGGGCCGGCCGCCATCCAAAGGGGTCAAGGAAGCGCCGACGCGGCACGGATGCGAGGGTGCCCTTGGGAGGGCCATCGGCTCCGACTGCAATCCATGGCTGCGCTTCCTCGACGCATCCCCCTCTTGGACAGCCCCCGGCTCGCACCTCCACAACATCTTTCTGGGACGCGGGGAGAGCTCAAAAACTCCTCCAGGCCTCCTTTTCCGCTACGTCTCCGCACCCCTCGCTCGCCCCCCTGTCGACGTCCCCCTAAGCCTATCCCCCCATGACATTGCGCCCTGGTTTTCGGGTCATAACTCGGGCCTCTGGCGGCCGTTCGGGACGATCCAGGCACCCGCCGAGGCCCAGCTGTTGGAGAGCATCCCGAGGCTGGAAGACTGGCGAGAACCGACGAGAACGCCCGACAACCTCGAACCTCTAACGTTGCCACAGACTCTTGGACGCCCCCGACTCTCCCAGAAAAGCTCAGAACCGAATCGACAAGACGGATCGGCGATCGAAGTGAATCGGATCGGCGGCAATCGGCAGCCAAGTCGGGAGATGTCGAATCGGCGGAACTCGGCTGGCTACAATGGCGATCCTACGGTTTTGATCATCCAAGTAGCAAGTGCGGCCCCCTTCCCCCCGTAGAATCCTTCAGCATGGGGTCTGGCGGCGGCGAAGTAGGTTTCGGCCCAGACCCAAGTTCTCTTTAGATATCATGTTAGCGAGCGTGGGCCCCAAACAGCGTGTTCTAGCAATACATGTTGTGTTGTACAACATTTGTGAGGCAATCAATGTGGTGCAATCTATGTGGTGCAATTCACTGTGACCGTCTTGAAGCTGTCCTCTCCACTGCTCGTGCAAACATCCCACCCTCCCACCCGCAACTTGGTCGCAAGACCTCTTAAGACAAGACCGTGACGGTAAAAACCACATGGCACTTGGCCACGACACCGACGCCGACGACGACAGCGACAACGACGACGACGGCGCCGCCGACACCGACTACGACGACACCGACGACGTCTCCAACGACTTCGACGACGACAACGACGATGACGACACCGACGACGACGACGACGCCGACAACGACGACGACGGCGGCAACGACGACGACGCCGACGTCGACGACGCCGAAGACGACGCCGACGCCGACGACGACGAAGACGACGACGACGTCGCCAACGAAGACGACGACGAGGGAGGAGGAAGGACGACGACGGCGACAACGACGACAACGACGACAACGACGAGGGAGGAGGGAGGACGGCGACGAAGCGAACGACGAAGAAGGAGGAAGGACGGCGACGCCGACGCCGACGACGACGAGGGAGGAGGGATGACGACGACGACAATGACGACGACGACGACGAAATAGGAGGGACGACGACGAGACGCCGACGACGGACGACGACGACGACGAGGGAGGAAGAGGAATGACTACCACGGCGACAAAGACGACGGAAACGACCACGACGCCAAAGAGGACGACGACGACGAACGCGAGGAAAGACAGAGGACGACGTAGGCGACGACGACGACGCGGGAGGAGGGAGGACGGCGACGACGACGACGACGACGACGCAAGAGCACGCGCGCACGCTTTTGTTGAAAATCCGTGTTGCGAAACCTTGTGTTTTTGT